TCGAAGATACTAACAAGGTTTCCCTCAGTGACATCAAAGGCTCTCCATGGTGTCTGCACGACTCTACACCGAGAGGAGTGGAACCTAAAAAATATTTCCAGTCGTTTTTTCTTGTGTTCACGCCCAACGAGGCCCGATATGATTCGATCTTGAAATTTGGGTTCGGGCTTTGGTACATGAACCCCTGGTATCCTGAGGAGCTTTGCGCCTAGTATGTCACCAGTCTTTTATTCTTTTTACTCGCTCAAAGCTGATCATTACCCTAGTTTTAAACAGCCGCTGCGAGAGGACGTGTACTACATTTCTGGTCCTTACTTACGCGATTATAGATTGTGTTGCGAGGGTCTGGATAACCAATGGCAAGAGGAGAGAATACAAAGCGCTCTGCGTCGCATCAAAGAAATTGCCACCTGGGACCGAGCGAATCGGAGCCAGACAGACCCCAACGTGATAACCCATCGACTCTTTGCCCTGCACAGCGACGACCACTCGATATCTGGTTGCCAATATACTTTTAGATCGGAGTGGGTCAAGAAGCGCTTTTTCGAAACCTTGTCAGAGCTCAAGCTCGAGGAAGCACAGACCTTGTTCCGGATCCTCGATCAGTCAGGTACCACGGGAGGGTTCATCTTCGAGGTACTTGCCAAGCAGTACCTTTCTGGCAATGTGCCCCGCACTTACTCAGTCGGGACCGGACGTTTCCTGCAGCTCATGCAGGAGAACAACCGCAAGTATAGCGACCCATCTCTGCCGGCGCATACCTTCAAAGTCAAGGAGCGCAAGATCGTCCGTTATCATACACTTCATGACATGTCATTTGACGGATTCAATGTCCCCGCCCGCGCCGCTAGCAACAACCCATTTTTCGATGCCGTCGTTTTCGAGAGGGAGGAACCCGACATTGTAGTCTGGGTCTTCCAGGTCACAGTTAGTACCGAGCAAAAAACAGGCTCTAACCAAGGTTATGCTCTACTAGAGCAGATCAGGGAAATGACTCAGCAGGAGATTGGGTCTGGTAAGGTTGCGTTTAGATATGTGTTGGTGCAGCCAGAAGAGAAATTCTACCGAGGTCCTGTCTCTTGGCAGTTTCCACTAGATCCATCACCCAAGTGCAAATATGACTGCGCAGAGAGCAATGAGGAGAAGCACACGCTTATTCCGGGTGAAGTTTATGTTCAATGTTTAACAATTTGACTTTTTTTTTTGCTTTTTTTTCATCAATGTAAATAAGTATGGCGAGGAGAATACTGACACATCGAAAAACTGCGGATAAAGTAACACGCCAGAAGTCCATTAACATTCAAGAACTCGAGCAACAACCGCGCCCCGCCCGAGTCTCGTACCAACATGTGTACAATTATACTCCAGAATTCTTCGATAACTGTGAATCTTGATGACAGTAGTTACGGCCACTGTTATAAATCAGACTGCAGTTTTAACGCGGTGCGCTAGCGGGATCTGTATCGATTTTGTTTTGATTCATGAAAACCAGGATATCCACATTGTCTAAATTTTCGACAATGTCCAGTGTCCACAGCTTTGATTCCTGCTCGCTAGGAGCGCTGGAACAAAAGACTCGAAAAAAAAAAGAAAAGGTTTGATGGCTCACTTGATTCTTGATCATTGCCAACCAAGTTAGAGCCCTTCAGACACTGCATTGATGAGTTTTTTCAAGGTTTCGCAGATTGTGGAAGTAAAAATCATGTTCCGCCTCCGCCTCCGCAGTCGGCACTCCCACTTTTCTTTCCGAATTCTGATGTATGTGCTCATCATGATCAGTTGACATTTAACAAGCCTAGTCTAATACATTCCATCTCGTTGGGCTCCATAGTATCCCAGTGCCCACCGCATGCCCTACGTACTTATCGGGATACTTACAAGGATACTTACAAGGTGACTGATCAAACATTTCGATATGATCAATCTTACACTCACTTTTCAGTAATAGTACAATCGACTCTTTTTTTAGCAAGGCTCATCGATCATTAATCATTTCTCGTCCTTGATCCTTTTTCTGACTACTACATTCAAGTCTTTTCTTTTTGAACCTAGGTGTTTTCTTTCTTTCTGATGTCGACAATGATAAATTTGAGCCTTTACAGGCTAGTTTTCATCAAAATGCATCTGCACTCATCATGGTTTTCTCTGGGACTTAATATTTGCAAGTATTCAAGTTCCAAACGCTTACTTCACTCACGTAGTTATCCGCACAGTTGGGCGTCGGTGGACGCATTCACTGCGACTTACTCGTGGAATTCATCAACAATTTCCGGTGATCCAGAACGCTGAGCGAAACAAACTTTTTCATCTTATGAAATTAATGTCATATCTACAAAACTAAATACTCTCAGGTCTTCATGAATTCTCGAATAGACAAGTTCTCGACATGTCAACTCCCTCTAGATGATTTCACTGATCTTTTAGAGAATCTAAACAATCTCTAAACATAGAATATAACAGGTACCCAATAGTGACATGGCTTACACTTCAGCGTCGGAAAGGAAACCACACAAAAGAGTTCTACGGTATTTCTCATATCAAGTCCCACGACTTACTTAGGCTAGGCTGTTCCTACTGGTGGTCGCCAAAGCCTCAAGTCTGTTCAGGATTTTCCTGAAAATTTCGATGGGGTTGTGGCTGGTGCTGCACTGCAAACAACTTTGTCTTGGACCGTTTACTTGTTCACCGTTTTATCGAAACCTCGACTACTTTTCTCCCAGAAGAGAAACGGCTGAACAATCTTTAGTCCGTTTGTGGTCAACGGAGAGCTTGCTTATCCTCAGAAGCAGCCTAGGTTGGAGCGTCCGCTGTATACGCCCGAACTCCTTGATGGCGATATTGATTCGTTTGCGGTGAGTTACGATTGTAAGGCATTTTTGGTCTAGCACGATACCCACTCTTACGTTGGTCCTCTTGCCCCACAGGGTTGGTCCCGATATCGTAGTCTTCAGCGGTCCGAATGTCCATGTCAACGTTCAGAACCTCGGAGAAGCTGACTGGGAGCTAGTCCAACAGTTCAATATATCCGCCTGGAAAGGCAATCTATCTGCATTCAAAGAACGAGGTGGAAAGATTCTCACTTACCACGATCCTTGAAGCTGGTGGAATAATCATCTCTTCAAATCGTTTCCGAGCAATGTTACGATCATGTTTCGAACACCATGAATCTTTCTAACACGGATATGGATGAGTTCTACCACCTCTTCCGTATCGCTGGCATGGATGATTGTTTCTTCGGTCCTGGCGTATTGGACAAGGGTTGTTCGGAGATTCGACTCCGGGAAGTGAAAATTCGAACCCAGAGCAGAATATCTTGATGGCGATAGTTAGATGGGCTGAAAAGGGGATAGCACCGGAGAGCGTCTTGAGCACAAAGTTTGTAAACGATTCAGATCGGAGAGCTTGGGAGTTGAGTTTTCTCGAAGACACTGTAAGAGAAATGTTTACGACGGGCAAGGGAGACAGCGATCAACTTGAAAAGCTGGTCGTGCCGGTAGACACACGTATGCAGCCGTTTATCCATGAGAATCGTACATAAGTGATTCCACTAAGCAGTACTTATTCTGATAAGTAAGTGAGAGTCAGAGACTGAAATGATAACCCTTCGGGTCACTCGGATATATCTAATTTTCTCATGTGATTGATATCCGGTCTTCGGAGTAAGCGCCCCTGTTGATCACATCTCTTTCCGCATCCACAATGAGCTCTAAACCCTCTCAACGCGTCGTCTTCATTACAGGCTGCACTGACGGAGGTATCGGCGCTGCATTGTACGTTTTTCTCTTGAACTCCCTCTGAACGCACTCAAGTCCACGACTAAAGGCCTTGCTGATGTCTCGTGTATACTCTATCTAGGGCATTGACATTGGCGAAGAAAGGATGCATAGTCTATGCATCTTCTCGTTCTGTTTCTTCTATGACGGGTCTTACACACGACAACATCCGTAAACTAGCTGTCGATGTTACACTCGACGCGTCCATCAAATCCGCTGTCGAGGAAATATACGAGAAAGAGGGAAAACTGGACGTAGCTATTGCCAATGCGGGAATTGGATTAACAAGTCAGTCACTTCCTTTTAGCGTGCATCGAAGAGTTAATTAACCCAATGTAACTCGTAACTCGTCCCAGAACCTCTCCTCGATATCACCATAGAACAAGCCAAGAATCTCTACGAAACCAACGTCTTTGGTTTAATGCGTACCGTACACGCAGTGATACCCCGCATGACTCAACAAGTCTCGAATTCCAGCGCTAATTCGAAAAAGAGTCCTAGTTGGAAACCTCTATTCGTCGTCATCGGTTCTATTCGAGCCGAAATGTCCTCTCCTTGGTCAGGTTTATACGGTTCGAGTAAAGCCGCAGTAAGGTCTTACACGGAGACCTTGCAAATGGAATGCAGACCCCTGGGTATAAATGTCATGCTGGTGAACCCTGGAGCTATCACTAGCAATATCGTTAAAGTGCGTTCTGTATTTATTTCTTCTTGCTTATACTTAATGAAATAACCACACCTTACGCACACCTCCAAACACAGAACCAAGGCACCCAAGCAACGGACTACAACCTCCCCGAGAACTCTTTATACAAAAACTACATCCCTGCGATAATGCACACGATGTACATATCACAGTCAAAGCGATACGGAAGTATGGACAGCTTCGAGTTTGCAGAGAAGGTTTCACAAAAAATCCTTTCGAAAAATCCACCTCAGTTGGTGAGGCTTGGTGGATCAATTGGAATCATGGTGCTTTTACAATGGTTGCCAAGGACATGGGCATTGGGCTTGATATGGAGGGCCATGTCAGGCATGAAATTCACGAAGACTTGAAGCTTAGTGAAAAGCCTAGACTGCAATTTTTATAGGTTGGACGTTGTGCTTATTATCAGGTTAGAACACTCATTAAATTATGATTTATTGGGAACATTTGGAGTCCTTGGGGAGTCGTTTTGCTTGCGGAGTCAAGTACTAAAGGGCATGATATCAAACCAAAAAAGCACTTGCATTAAGAGGGAATCGAACCCCCGGCGGGTCGAGCAGTTTTCGAGCAGTCACGTGGCAACGACCCAGGTTACCACTACCCCATTAATGCCCATGCTAAACAGCGAATGTACCTGTATTCATGTATAGTTGCCGCTCAGTACAAGCTTAAGCTTACCTCCTCGCATTCGTCGACGTAGATGTACATGTACTGGTGGACGAAAGATCAAAAGACAGAAGGTGATCCCATGCTCTTCAGTAGACGGCAGTCAAAACGTTTGCTGGGGATAGCTTTACAGCAGAAGGGAGGAAATGTATATTTGAGCCTCGTGCCGAATAGCACATACTATTATGATACATCGTGTGCAGTGACAATCATATCTCTGCCATTCGCTCGTATGGATCGTTTTGCAGTGTCACGCGAGAGAGGTTTCCGCATGTCTGGTAAAGAAAAAGAAAAGATGTTACAAACCCATCAGATGGAACCCATGAAAATTTTTCTTGTAGTACGCACCAAACGCATCCTCTTCGTCTCTTCCTCCTTTCCCTATCCCCAGGCTCCCGTAGTATTCTTTGACTCGTCGGTATACGGAATAACCCAGTCCCTCGTACATGTCTATCGCTATCTGGTTATTACACCTCACGTATAAGTCCACAAAGAACCCCTGGTAAATCTGCTCGGAAACAAGGTCGAGCAGACCCATCATTTTACGAGCAAGGCTGAGTCGACGGTATTCTGGTGCGACGGTTATAGCAGTGACGTGACCGTGCCATTCGAGACCTTGGCCTTCGGCTTTTCCTATTACTATAACAGATAGGGAAATTAGTGAGTCAGAAAATCCGGACAAAAAAACGATTAAAGGAAGAAAATTTACCGTATCCCATCATACGTCCACTGGGTGCTTCCTGGACACAACACAAATCTGGCCAGCGGGACAAATAGTGCAGATAAAAGCCAATGTTATACTGTAGGCCGGGATTGAGGAATTAGAACTGCAGAAATTGAAGACTTTTTGTATAATTACTGTTTCGGTCCAAATGTCTAGGTTCCTGTGGTATAAGAAGGTCGTTCAACGCTTGGTTATCAGAGGGTGTAAATGCGAATACAAACACGTTATTAAATTTGAACATATCGGAGGCTCTGAAGGGACGGAGGACACTCATTTTTGTAGGATAGAATCGTCTAGTCAGAGGACTTTTGGATGGAAGTGGGTAGAAATTCGGAAACACGGGCACGTGGCTGACGCTATTCCGAGCTCGAGCTCTCTTACCACTCTCACGACCAAGCTGAGGGTTATGTCAATTTACATGCTCCCTTTACCCAATCGACGCCCAACATTCAATGTGTAACAGAAACTTTCATGACAGCCATGAAACGCCGACGACGTATTTGCACAACACGCATATGCGCGTTGGAGCAGGTTTGGAGTCGTTCCATCTTCTTACCTTGTTCAGTTCTGGCCGTTCCTGCCAACATCGTTTCGGCTGCTTGAGCCTTGAATGATCCATGTGTATGCAGGTACGTGCTATCATGTATGATGTATCTTCGACGGAATTGATTATCATCTCGAGTTTTTCCATTTATTCCTAGAAGTCATCGAAAAAAACGGCCCGAGATTCAAGAAGCGCTGGAAAACACGATCCCTCCGAGAACCTCGAAACTGCCACTTAACTTAATAACGCTGGCGCTCATAAGATCTCTTCTTCTTCCAACCACGACCTGGCAAGTCCCATCATGAAGTTTTCTTTCATGCCTGTCGCCGTATTGGCACTCGCATCTCTTTCGGCCGCACAGGAAGTCACTTCTACAGACGTTGGCGAACAGATTCGTTTCGATGCTGAGCATAATGCGACATCCTTGGTGGGAACATGGTCCTCAGGGAGTCGTGCTGTCATGACTGGTCCTGTAAGCAAGCAACTTGTTCTTTCAAGCCCATCTTTTTTTACTTCGATATCTGACGAAAAAACGGTGTAGCAATTCGCGAATCCTTCCAATCTGTCCTTCAATTATCCCCTGAACACTGGAGTATCTTATTCTTTGTGAGAGGCTACTTTGTACAATTCATGATCGATTCTTTTTTTCGTTGACGAGCCCCCCTCCCATCTGATAGCACCGAAGATGGCTGGTACGAGATTTCGAGATATCGATTTAATTCAAATGGTACGTGGGTTTCCTCCCAACATTCCGCAATCCAAAAATCCCCCTTCCAACACCACAACAAATGATTATATAGCTATAGACCCTGGCTGTATGACCGGTCTCATTTTCTGGGTCCACGGAAAATACCAAATGCTCTCAAACGGCTCTCTCTACATGATTCCCAACGGCGATGGATTCCAACAGATCCAAAACCGTTGTAACGCTCTCTCCAACCAAATCCTAGACTACAACGAGACAGAGTTGTACAACTCTTGGAGGATATACACAGATCCTACGGATGGGTTCAAACTTCATCTGTTCCAATTCGACGGTACGCCTGTCGCACCGCAGTTCCAGATCTCGTCGACACCGCAGATGTTGCCAAAGGCCATGTTGAGGGCACCTCCTACTCAGATTCTACGTCGAAGGGGGAACGGAGCTGAGCAGAGGTTGACGGATATATCATGGACTTTCGTATCGACTGGGATGGCCATGGTTTTGGCGACTGTGGCCTTGTCAACGTTGTAATCGGACTGTTTTTGTAAAGCCTTGCGTTTTTGCTGTGTACACGTGGTTGAGCGTGCATGCGCAGTAATCCATGACCTCTGATCATGAATTTTTACATACGACGACGGACAGAGGACTTTGAATACAATAGATAGTGACGATGGCTGTCCATGTTCACTGTATTTGTACGTAGCGTAGAATAATACACAGATATAAGGATAGTGGTAGATAGGGTCTCTGAGTTTGCCCAGAGTAGATGGTTTGCACAGTAACATCCAAAAAATCCGAAACCCCTCGGCTATATCTCGTCTCCAGTCGTTCCAAGAACACCATTCTCCAATGATTCCGGCCAATGCGCACCGCCAACAAGAGTGATATCCGTCTTTGTGACCTTGCGTTGGATGATGACGGGTGGGACTACGGTAAAGCTTTTCAATCTCTTTTCCCATACCAACCATTCAGTTGCTAAATCGACTGAGCGCCCATACGCGTAAGGAGGGTGACGAAGATGTTTGAGGAGACGGACAGCTCCTGCGGGAGAGAGAGCGTAGGCATGTAGACAGCGAGGTTGGAAGGAAGGATGGAGGTGGTTTTTTATAGGACGACTGTATTCTCCTATGATTTCTGCGTGTTCAGTCTCTTTTGACCAGCAGAAGCCTTGCAAGCCATACATATGTCACATCAGAATGATTTCTATACAGCCCAGGGTCGAGAAAGAACGCACCTAGGAAAAGCATATCCCAATCATAAGGCAACAAAGGCATTAATTCAGCCATGCGAGCCTTGATATCAACCTCCATATCTATATCATCCTCCAGAACTAAAGCAATGTGATCCTGAACTTTTCCAGGTTCCCTATGCAAGTCCACGCCGAGTTTCGTATTGTCATCCACAATTCTCCGAACGGCAGTCAAGTGAGAGTGATACGTCGCAACGCGTTCAGTGGTCAGGTATCGCCACTGAGGTAACTCTTCAGAGAACTTTTCAAGTCTAAAATTATCCTCTGCGCAGATCAAGGGTTCCTCAGGCATTACCACATCCTTGACAGAATCTGCTCGCCATAGTTCGGACCCGGATAACGGTATTGCTGAGGTTATAGTCTGGTTGGACACATATGTCTCTTCAGAGTCTTCTGGCCATGAAAATGGGAGATGAACGGTTTGGGAAGTAGAATAATCTGCTGAAGCGCGCAATGACTGGACATGACGCATGGTATCTTTAATGAATGGGGTATTGGCATAGGTTCCGTCGTGATACACCCAGTTTTCGACCTCGAAATGAGCCATGAGTTTATCAATGTCGACTCGACGGTCGTCTCGATGTGGAAGGGAAATCACGTAGGTTTTGTGAACGAAACCCCAGGCTAGAGGAGAGCCTGGTCGAGAAAAGTTGACAAAGTTGGAAAGATTTTGTGGTGAATCATAGTAAAAGAAACCGGTCATTAAGAGCAGAGCACAGAGAATGAAGAGAAGGAATATTCGACGCATTGGACCGAGCATGATGGGAAAAGAGAGAAGAGAAGAGAGAATATTTTCAAAACCTTTACATATTTGCGGCTAAAGGAGCCCTCCAGTGCCTTTGAGATTCGCAGGCTGTTTCTCGGAGGGACTTGTCTCCTGCGAAGTCAGGTTCTTTGAACAGCTTGTCGCCGCATATCTCCAATCAGTCACATTGCGGAGCACGATTGACATTGTTTCTGCACTGAGCCCTCTTCCCTGAAACATCATGACCACGCTCCTTGAGAGTACGTTTCCATGCCCTTGCATAGTTCCTTGTCTGGCGTTTGCGTGACATAAAGAGATTGTGGGGAACCATGATGTAATGCTCCTGTCAATTGGCAGGGTACCCTTCTTGATAACTTGTCCCGAGTCCTCACGGAAAGTCTTCTCAACCGGAAAATTGGGACGTCTTTTCGCCAGCAGGAGGTCCAGGATTTGTAGGCGTACTCAGGTTTGGATTTGGGCATGCTGTCGAGATCAGACCGTGCATGCTCGGTTGGCTTGTTGTGCGTGGTACGCATTGTCGTAGCTCAAAATGTGCTCGATGTCAGGTCCGAATTCAGGAGGACTGTTGCACTGCAGCTATGCTCATTGCCTGTTGCTGACCACATCTTCGTTAGTGACATAACTAGTCACGGATTCTTTCCAGGTCGACAGTCTCGACGAGCGGGATGGCCTGTAACGGGCCCACGTAACCATTCAGATTCAGCAGCGTCAAAAGTTTGCCAGGATGAGTGAATGTCCTTCACCCTTGTTCTATACCGGTTTGCTTTGACTGTTTTTCTGGTTCTCATCACGACGTCGTTTTTTATGAGCGTCGGTGGTTAGACAGTTATCTTGATAGCACCGAATAACCCGGTTTCCGTCTCGGTCGGTCTGTTATATTCTCTCTGAAACCATCATTCCAGGCGTCCTTGGCTGCTCTATACCTGCATTCTTCCTCTTTCTGTACTCTATGCGTGGTAT